CTCCTTCCAACATATGAGTGCCAAACTGCACCTTCTGCTCTTCTAAGAAAGCCACCACGCAGAAAATCTTCTCAATTCCCTTTATCCACTCCTGGGCACCATTTGGTTTATGTATTCCCTTGGATATCGGCTGGTTGTTTCTCTGAAACCTTCCCCATGCACGAGCTTCATCACTATTTCAGCCATTCTGGTGATTTTGAGCCATTACCTGAGCTAATGCCTCCAAAGTTCCAGCAATCGCATCACCGTTTCTTCCTTTAACCATTTCTTTTTGTATACATGCAAATGTCATTAGAGGAACAAAACATCGACTGTGTTTGCACACGAAACATCTACTTTATTTTTCAAACATCAAGATTTATGTGAAAGATCCAGACGGACACCCAAATTTTGATGTTTGAAAAATAAAGTAGAAAAGAAGAGGAAATCAAATTTTATGTGAAACACTCAGACTGGCATCCATTTATCAACATTACTTTGAAAAATTTGGGATTGAATCAAATCCTATAGACTAAAAGAGGAAATCATGATTTACAAGATGCTTGCAATTCGAAAAATATTGGATCTTTTAAGTTGTTTTTCAAGAATAACTTAATTTTCTGACTATTGTCTCAAAAATATGTTTGAATGGTTGTATATGGTTAATGAGGTACAGGGAAAAACAAGTAATCCCATATTTTATAATAAACTCTTACGTATACCACAACGGTTGGAACGTTTAACCATGGTGAAATGCTATTTTTATGCGCTTTAATTTTGGTTGTAGTTGGGTATCGAACCCATGCCACTATAATTATTATAATGATTGTTTATGTCAACCATTATGATAAACATTTTACCACAACGGTCTCAGGACCCGTGATTGTAAGTGCCACATATATAACCATACTCTACACAATAACGCCTGGACTCGCGTGATTATATGTATTTTCCAACCGTTGTTAAATGGGTTTTCCATAGTAGTGTGGTTATTTGAGTTTATTCCATGTATACTAGAAATTATTATTTTGTGTTTAGTTCTTATTTAATTGACATTTGTGACATTTCTTAATTAATATTTGTTGTGCTTGTCTTCTTTTATCACTGAAGGATATACGAGGATTTCCCCACCATTTGTGATAGGAGAGTGCATCATGTAACACCCCAAAATAATTAGATTATTTATTTAATTGATTTATTGTGAGTATTTGTGAATTATTAGTGAGTATATGCTATTTTATTGAATATGATGTGTGTTGTGATGATATGTTGTGGGGTAAGGATGAATTAAGGGAATATTGTATATTTTAATAATTTAGATAGTTTAGTATAATTATTTTGAATAATTAATTAGAATTATTATTAATAAAATAAATATAATAATGGTGGTGTAGAAACATTGGGGGGCAAGGTTGTAATTGGTGGCGGGATAAGCGAGGGTAAGATAGGAATATCATAGAAAGGGTTTAAGGGTTAAACAAGGAAAAAATAAGGAAAAGTGATTCATTGTGTATGATCATGAATGAACTGGAAGAGCGTAGCAAAGCTAGGGCACAAGGAAACAAGGAGATTTAAGGTAGAACACAAAGAGGAAGATCACTTTATAGGAAAATCTAAGATAATGGGGTGATTCTTGTTATTATAATTGATATGGGGTTTAGATATGTGTAGAATTTTGTTTTGGATTTATGTTGATTGATCATAAAATGAAGAATTGGTGACGTGCTTTGATGATTTATGATGTGTATTTCCTAAGATTTGATACCATAATAAGTATGACAATGTGTTGTTGTATGATAACATGATAATTTTTGGTGAAATTTGGACTATAATGATATGGAAATCACATGAAATTGGGACTGAACGGATACAAGAATCACAACTGAGAAGTTATTGTCACGAGGTCGTCGTCGAGAAAAGTGATTTTACCCAAGCGACGCCATGAGAGCCTTCGGGCGAGCAAGGTAGGGAAAAGTGCATGCTCCTAGAAAATAAGCGAAGCGCTTTTGCTTAGTTAGATGAGCGTTGAGCAAGGATCCGTCGCTCTTACTTCATTGAGCGAGCCTCAGGAGAGCAGACCGCTTCTCTGGGCGAGCCTCGGGCGAGCAGACTGCTTCGCCAGGTGAGCCTCAGTCGAATAGACTATTATATGGATTTTATTTTGCTATCATTTTTTTATGGAATAAAATGAGTAACCTGATGTATTTCCTATGATTATGATATGATGAATTAATAAGAATATGTGTTAATGAAATATGGTGTATGATTGTATGATATGTTAATTGTTGTGAGTATGTTATGTTTTGTATAAAGACGTATGAGATGATGACTTGTTGTATGATGATTACATGAATGTTGATGCACTTGACTAGATGTGGTTATGGATATTATGTTGATTTTGCATCATGCATTCATAGAATTAGGATGTTGGTCCTCCGTGTTGATAGGACGTAAGTCTAGTGTTGTTAGGACGTTAGTCCAGTGTTGGCCTCAATCCCACTGTGTCAATTATGTGTGTTATGATGTTGTGCTCTGGTTCCAAGAGGGGATCGATCCTATGGTGGGGATCTTTGGAGGGTGAGGCCAAGTTCCAATCAAAAGAATTGGTACCACATGCATAAGTCTATGTTGATACATTGCATTCTATTTGACATTGCATGAACGTTGATTTAAATGATGATTTGACGATGTTGTGACTTAAGTGATGTTTGTGTTGATACTTGCGAATCAAATGGTGTTTTATTAGTGATGATCGATCTAATGATATAATGATGTTATAATTGAGATGATAATATGAGAGTGTGAGTATAATATGTGATATATGATGATATGTGGATTTCGTGATGATGTTGCTGTAGCTACTATATTTATTCCACATATCTTTTGTAATAATTTGTGATTACTCACCCTTTCTGCTTGGAAATGTTGCCTCTATATGTGGGTAACTTGCAGGTGATTTGAAATAGTTCGTAGAAGCTTAGGGGATAGCTATGGATTGTGTTATTTATTTATGTTGAATAAGAAAGCCCTTGCTCTGATATGTAAGATCGGAGTTTGGAATCGTATTAATTGAACTATATGTTCTTTTTGTTGACATGACCTATAAGTTATTTTGGCATTGTTAAGTTATTTTGATGTATGATTTCATGAACAACGAATATGATGATGTTCCTTTAAAATGAATTTAATGAAATTATAAAGACTAATATTCTAATGTATAGTAAATGATTTTATATGTTGATATCCCGAAAAGGAAAATGATTTATAATTGTTAAAAAACCCGTGTTACGGAGTAAGATGTTTGTCATGATGCTTTCATTCATGTCATAATTTCCTCTTCTTTTCTACTTTAAAGAATTTGTGACATTGAATTAAATTCTATATGCTAAAAAGAGAATTATGATTTACAATATGCATGCAATTCGAAAAACATTGGATCGTCTAAGTTGATTTTCAAGAATAACTTAATTTTTTAAATTATTATCTTAAATTTTTTTTTAAATGAATGCAAGTTCAATGAGGGGTTAGTGAAACAACCAATCACATATGATATAACAAACTCACTAACAACATTTATCAACAAAAACATCAAATTAATTTGCATAGATTGGGAGAACTGAACAACTAACCATTTCTTGAAGCTTTAAGTGATAAGTAAAGAACCATAACCACTTGCTAGCTGCACATGAAAAACCATTTATCAACTCATACTACACGCTTTCTACCACCATCATAATCATCACCATATGAGGTTTATCTAGTTCGTGAAGGTATGAATAAAAAATATAAGGTGGATAAATTTAACACAATAGCTTCACACTTCTTATATTTCTTTTCATACCTTCTAAATCTAGATGAAGTTTGTTGCTGTTGTTGTTTCTTCATTCACTTTTCTTTAGTCCTACAAACACCATAAAAATTATCAACATGTGAAACCGCAAACTTTTTTGTCAACAACACAACATGCAACAATAACATAGAACAACGTATAACAATAAAAGAGCCATAAATTATGTAACAAGAACAAATTCATAGGAAAACCAAGTAAAACATAACAACAACATACACGAAAATGAGAGAATAAGGAAAAAGAAGAATACCATAATGTAAGAATAAAAAGATTGACGATTATGCTGTAGAATAGGAATGCTAATGATGAAGAAGAAGAGAAAAAATAGGATCTAGGGTTTTGCTGTGATAGATACGGCGCTATTGTGAAAGAGTGAGATTTAATTCGCTTATATATAAATATACTCACAATGATTGAAGTTTCCACCCGTGGTCGTAATCCTTTACTTTATATATAAAAATAAATAAAATAGAAAAGACGCGCCTTAACGTTAAATGAATAATATATTTGAAGGCACTGAGTTTCGAACCTAAGAAATCCTGGATTCTATAACTACAATTATAGCTACAACCATTATTATATGTTAACAATTTTTAATAAAAAAATAAAATAAAATGTTAGCGTTGTGGGTTTAGAGATGTCACCACGTGTTGAAAGAACTATCGTGAATTAGGCGTTGTTGTTTTCCCGTTTTGTAGTAGTGCCAGCAAGTTGTCTGGTCACAAAGACAGTTGCAACTCCAAGTGTTGAATGTAGGATGGTCAATGCAACACACCCCCAAGCCCATATGCTAGTCTCAAGGATACTGAACAACCACAAGTATCGAGCATCAATATAAACATGAGACTTATCCACAAAAGAGTACATGCTACTAGATGTAGCATGTGCGCCCTAGAGGCAACCTCATACCTATGTGCTTCCACAAGGTCGTGATCCCTATCCCAAAGCCAAGACACCCGGAGGTAAGCTCCCTATTAAATTCAAATTCCTCTAGCACGACCTCCTCAATGACTTGCAAATCATGTACAACCATCATCAATGATGTCATCTGGTTAATATTAGGATAAGTAAAGAATATACCAACAATGGGAAGATGGAACAAGAAGGAGACATCACCCAAAGTGATCGTCATCTCCTTAAATGGAAGATTAAAGGAAGATGTCTCCTTGGGTCATTGCTCAATAAAAGTAGTCAGAAGTGAAGTGTTAAGCATGGTCAGTGAGCAACTGATGAACTCCAGGAGATCAAAATCAGCAAAAATACGTCTGACCTGCTCAGGCATCAGACTGTGTGGGAAGTTTTTCATTTTTAAACTGTGGGATGTCACCTTCAGTGACTGACGGTTCTGTAACAAACAAAGTTAAAAAATTATCAGTAAACTTTCAACATATCATGGAACAATAATAAATAAGTTGAAGTTAAACATAAAATATATATACATCTCCCTGCCGTAATATGTATGTGACATGGTTATCATACTTCGTGAGCACTAATCGGTCATTAGTTCCTTCTGGGAATGCTCTATCAGTGTGAACAAATGCCTCTGTAGAATCACGGGTCGTAATGTCTGTATAATCACCAGTAGAAGTATCATCATCAACAATAGGATATGCGGGAGCCATCACCTTATTAGCAACCTTCACATATGTAATTGGCACCTCCTCCATAACAGGTACCTCCTCAACAATAGGTACCTCCTCAACAACAAGTACCACATCAGTAATAAGTACCTCATTAACTCTAACTGCTCGGTGTGAGGATACGCAAAGCTGGGCTTGATACTGCTCAACCAATTGTTTTCAATGAGAATCAATTGGAGCTACTTGTCCAACCCGTAGCTGGGAAGCCTTGGCCGCATCAGCCCTAGCCCAGAATATCGCTTTATCAGTGATCCTACCGACAATGATAAAATGACAAAAACCAGTGAACGAAGGCCAATTTCCAAGTTCCTAATCTAGTACTAACGTGTTGTACCCCAAAATTTGCCCTCGCGCTTTTCCACAAGAAATCTCAGCTTCAAACATTTCCTGACTTCTCAAACTGGCTCAAGAATCGGACAAACGGACTTTTCTTGACAGTCAAACAAAATAAGGGTTTTACTGATTTTCAGAGCTTTGAATTGTTTCATACAGTGGGCTTAGGGTTTGATTGATTTTTGGTTCAATTTTGATCAAGCGAGCGTGATTTGGCATTTAATCGGGAATTAGGGTTTTATGGGCATATTCTCAGAAGAATTTGAATTCAACAGCGCTTTGCGATTTATTTCGAGATTCGGATTAAAATTCGCGTTATCTTGGTTTGATCAGCAAAAGAGACATTGGTTTTGAATTCAGTACGTTTTGATTGGGCCAGTCAGATACAAGATGCAGTTTTGAATTCACAGTACTTTTGCATTTGATCAGTCCATTTAAGTTAATTGCTGCTTTGCTTTGGATGTGGGATAAGACGGGTTTAATTGGATCAATGTTGTTTTATTTTAGTTATTTATTATTCTGAAATTAAATGATTGAATTTATTTTTCAAATTGTTTAATTCTAAGAATTTTAAATAAATAAATAAACAATAAGGAAATTAGAATTAATTAGATAATTTGAATTTTTATTGATATTTAAATTATTTGTACAAATTGTTGTTTATTACAAACAATAATTTACATTTAATTTAAATATTACAATAGAATGAAAAAATATCCTATTTTCTAAATACTCTTCATTCTTCACTCCGCTCCGGCATTCCATCTTTCATCTGCAAAAAGAAATAAGAAAGTCAGAAAGAATTAAAATTAGCAGAGACGGATAAAAATGCTCATCATTAGGGGCCACTGACTGGGATCAGTTGCCCTCTCTGCAAATCACGGGATTTCTCCCGGTTCACAGAGAGGGAAGATTATTTTATCTCATGAAATGCAAATGTCAAAAATGCATAGTTTCTAAAAGATTTGCAAGCTGCATAGATTCAAAATCCAAACTAAACTGAAAAAGTTCAATCCAAACTTTCAAATCTAAAACAAAGTCCACTCAAAGAAAATCAGGAAAAGTACTCAAAGCTGTCATGGAAAGACTTTTGCCAAGATATCAAAAAGCAGAAAATCTACACAAACTGTCAAAAGGAGATGCAGATGTATTATGCAAGCAAACAATCTTAAACTCATCACTTCCTAGTCATAGCCCCTTCAGAACAGTACAGATAAAAAACATTATAAAAATTCTTTGCTGTACTTTGAGAGAGAAGTAAAGAGAGATAAAGCCAAGGCACAGTTCAGCAGGTCAGGATATAGACAGTTCACAGCAGACAATAGAGAAGAAAAGAGAGATAAGGCCAAGACAGTTCAGCAGCAGGGTAAAAGGCAAGCATAGCAGTTCAGGGTACACAGTTCAGAAAGTAGTAAAAGAAACAATATACATCTCAGAACCAAGCTAAAAAACCACTACTGTCATAACCCAAAGCCAACTCAACACAGAAGACAGTTCAATATAGCAGCATAGCAGGTTAGACAGAAGACAGAGATTATGCAAGTCAGAAAACAATAAAACAGTTCAAGATAGGCATAATACACAGCAGACTGCAGAAGAAAAGCAAGACAGGAAAAGATTATCAAAAGCCAACTTGATTAGACAGTTCAGAGGCAGCAGAGATACAAATCCAAAAAAGCACAGTTCAACATAGCAGCTCAGCTCAGTTCAGAAGGGCAAGATAGCAGTTCACAAGAAAAAGGAAAAATATACAAACTCAGTTGGGATAGCAGCATAGCAGGATAGGAAGGAGAGGAGAAAAGAGAGATACTAAACCAGTTCAGCCTCAACTTTCAAACCATACTTACCAAAACTGATATCAACAACCAAAACCAATCACCACAACCAAAACCAATCCTGACCACCAAAAGACACAAACCTGATATCTCAAACTCAAGCCTCAACCTTCATAAAAATTCCAACATCCTCAAACCCAAAACTAAAAAAGGCTACTGAACTGGCAAAAGCTAAAAGCTCAAAACAACAATAATCCTCACCACCAATAAACCTGCATTCCCCTCAAAAACACCCCCATTACTGTTATCAAAAGCCATTACCCTGTCTCAATCTATATACTCACAAAAACCTGATAAGAACCAGAACCACAAAGCATCATCCAAACCTGCATCAGTCTCAGAACAAAAACTAAAAACAAATAACTTGCAACCTATCAAACACCAATACCCAAGCCTACAACCCTGTGAAGCTGAGCATCCCAAGCCACAAAGCTAAGTTCCAACACTGAACATCCAAACACCAAGCCTCAGAAGGAGGACTTCATCATAGGCATCTCAGAAGGCAACATCAAGGCAATATTTGTTCAAACACTCAAGGCAACCTAGGCCCTCAGAACCCTAGGTTCATCCTTGGGCAAGCAAGCACACATAAGCAATCACATACATCAAGCAAGAGTTTAAACCAACGAATCAAGGCATCACAGTGGAAGAAGAAGAAGAAAGAAGCAATTCAAAGTGAACTCAGAAGCTTCATCAAAAGGAAGCAATGTTCTAAATCATAAGCATAAAGAAGAAGAGGTAAAGAAGCGAGGGTTTAGGATTTCTCAGTGAATATCATCATCAAAAGCCTTAAACATAAGCAACAAGAACGAAGTTACCAGGAAGGCATCAGAAGCGTAGCAAGCATCTCCCTTCGCCGCTCCGGCCGCCTGAACGCTGCTTCTCCACCTCCCTTCCACCTCCAAGTATCAGGTAGTATAATCCTCGCTCCCTATCTCTACTTCTTCACCTCAAAAAATGAAAAGAAAACAGTAAGAACTCGAATTTAACCAATACGCATCGTTCACAAAAGAAAACATAAAGCTTTAAGACTAACCTTAAATCAAAGACACTAGGCTCATGCCTTGGAGGGAGGAAAGGCGCTGAAACGCGCTGGTGGCCGGAGGATGCTCAGAAATTGCTAATCGGAGAAGACGAACCAAACGCGCCGTCGCTGCCTCTAACCCTAACCCTCGTTCCACAAACAACACGCCTAACCCTAAATTTCGTTTCAGGCTTTGATTTGGGCTTAACCCGTGTCTGCCTTCCTAAGCCCATTAAACATCAATCTCTTTTCATTTTTATCCAATATTCATTAATCAGCTAACCCTTTGTTTTTTTTATTATTTATTTTATATTTTTTGCTTCTTGATAAAAATACTAACTCTTTCCATTTTTTTTAATAAAAAACAATATTTTCTTTTTTAAATACTAACTCAATTAATCCATTGTTTCTAAAACATATACAATTTATTTCTTAATTTAATTAAACATACTAACTTAATCTAAATACTTTTTATACACAAATTAAACTTAAAAACATTTTTGAAATACATTTGTATATAACTATCTTTTCTTTTTTATACATGATTAAATTGAAGATACCTTTTTAATTAAAATGCATTTTTGTACATATTATACATTTTTCATACATAATCAAAATTAAACTCTTTTTAGTTAACATTCATATTCATACATGATAATTTAAATACACATCTTTTAATATTGAAATTCACAAATATTAGACTAAAATTTTCTTTTTAATTAAAACTTAAACACTTAATCAAAACCCTTCATTTGTACATAAACATACAAGAATCAATATTCATCTAAAAATATTTCTCTAGGTCAAACCCTAATACGCTTCAACTTCACATTTCGCATTTGTACATAATTACACATACACAATTCAATACATATACACTTGTACATTTACACAACACATTGCCCTATACACACTTTATCTTATATTTGTATATTTGATATTCATTTTTGATCGCACATTCGATTTGGTTGTAAATTATTGGGTACTATAAGTCTCATCCCCATTTGTGAATATTGTACCCCCACTCCCGGATACTATTTTGTAATAGCGTAGATTTTACATTTTCGCAATTTACCGCTTTCAATTATACCATGGTTAGACCTAGGGTTTGTATGTACATAAAATCAAACGCTAGATAACCTAATACAAGACAAATACATGTAATCAATACACAATCACACTTGCACCCCCTAGGGTAATCCCACATGTTGCCTTCCAAAATGGGCCATGCTTGCACGTCGAATGTCTTTGGCAAACAAAATCAAATGATCATAAGCCCCTCGATGACGCTTTCGAAAGTTGCCTAAACGGAATGATCATAGTCCCTTCAAAACAAATTGCCAAAGACACTTGGCATCATTGCATTCATGGTCTATGCGATGACCCGTGCCTGTCCCGAATAAACTTCCTAAACGCAAGATTGTCCATCAATTTCAATGGTGGAACAAAATTGTTAAACGGGGTTAAAACATGACAAAACCTTTGAGTACAATAGGGTAGACATAACTCTTAGTTACTTGAGATCAAACTTGCAAAAACACTTGCCTTATTTTCAAAAACCACAATCCACAACACTTTCAAACAAATTCTCAAAAACATTTGAAAACATCTTTTCGAAAAGATTCACACTTTTGTAAAACACTCAAACACGAGTCAAATACATTAGTTGCCTAAAACAAGGCATCTTTTTCTAAAAACATTTTCAAAAAGCACCCACACACACACCATTTTCAAAGCAATCGAAAAACAAAGGCAAGTGATCTAAAAAACCAAGTAACTAAGAGCCCATG